GTTCAATACTTATTTTACCTGCTGTATTTGTGTATAAGCTGTTTAGATTGTCAAAAAGCCTGTGTTTTTAGGGTTATTGACAAAGTTCATGTACTCAGACCAGTAATATTTGGGGTCACAAGTTTTTGCCATGAATATTTTGTGGGTCAGAAGATAAAAGGTTTGGGAACCCCTGATTTAGGGTACTGGCTTTATTTTGTCTTATGCTGCTTTTAGTATTTCATCTGCTTTTACCGGTTAGACTATTTCCTATTTTTAGTTAACTCTTTGCAATTACCAGCTAATCTTTCCTGCCTTTAGCGTTTTGCTTCTGTTTTGTGCGGTTGGACAGGGAGCCATTTTAAAGATGCTCACCATACTGTTGAGCTTCCCTGTGGAGCGGCCTTGGATCATCAGGTCTTCATAACAGGCCGATAGAGGAAGCTCCAGACGTGCATCACTCCTATGGTTCCTTCCAGATGAATAGTTCACAGATGTAGGGGTTAGGCTGGTTTGACTGTAAGGCACTTTGATCGCCACACCTGAAACAGAGGCAGCAGTGGGGGGACTCTCTGCGTTAGTACAAGCCCGGAGATCTCCCCCATCCCAGGGGGAGAACTGGTTGGTTGGCATGGCAGAGGCGGTGTCACACACTGGATGAGACTAAGGGTCCCGTTGCTCAGAGGGATTCTTCAGCAGAAAAGGATTCAGTAATGTCAGCTCCAACTATATGGACAAGTTCTTGCAGCTCTCATTACTGCTACTGATGATCGTGCTGCTCACTGTGGCCAACTCCTGCAAGTGATACAAGCCAGACCTGAGGCTGAGGCAGGACAAATGTTTAATCACACACCAAGATACAATCCTGAGATATCAGCTGAAACTGGCTGACGCCCCATTCATCTCCTCAAATACTGTCAGGAATGTAAGCTGGCGCCRACAAAGGAAGGAGGATGATGATAAGACTTGGAGCAGCTACTTCAGAGAAGGCACTAAACTATACGGAGACGTCCGATGAGAGGGAGAAACATCTGTCTGCTGATAACCTGAGGATGAACATGATCTGTGGAGACAAGAGGGGGAAAACAGCAGCCTAATTAGCAAATGTATAAAACAAAAAATAAACAAACACTATAAATTGGGCAGACTCCAAATAGTAATAAATGGTAGATGTACAATCTTATATAAAGTTTGGCTATGGTGGCTATACTGAATAAGGTTCAATTGGACTTTAGACCAGTGTTGCCAGGTGTACGATAATTATCATATTTGTACCATAATTTTGCCCTCTGTACGATGTACGATCATTGGGCCTCATGCAAGAACATGTTCGTATTCTTATCCTAAATTTCTCTTACTTTTGTTCGTACAAAGGGTTCGTACGAACATGTCACGTC